ATCTCTTCTAAAATTTCATAGTCTCTATAAAAATATTTCTATCCAAATTAATGTTTTTTGAAGAAAACATTCCTCTACTTATTATCAGACAACTACGGGCAAGTGGCCGACGGAAGCGCCTAGTTACGTATAGCAGTGCTTGGCGCCGCGCGAGTTCACTGACGTTAAGTAAACAAATTACCAAGCTTACGTAATTAATGTTTTGGCATATGTTTTAAGTTCGGTTAAAAACTTGGAGTCGATTTCATTAGAAAAAAAGTGACATAATCTTAATTAAATTGCCCTATGATAAATGAATAAAATTGTTTTAAAGTCAATAATGTATCATAGTATATAATTAAATAATGTTATTTACATTTTACTTACCTTATTTAATTTTCATTTTCACAGTTTTAATTCTTAAATTGAGATTGGTTATGTACTGTAAAATGATTACGGAAATCGTTTTTGTACAACAGATATTCTCCGAACTGATCATGGTCGAATCGTCTCAGTGTTTAACGTTAAGAAACGTTATTATTTTCAATCAACTTTGTACAATAAACTTAAACAAGAAACAAGTTATTTGTTGGGTAAACAACTTTAACGCACTTGAAAATGTTCCACTTGTTGCGGCGCTGCGCCTTAAATGCTTCTTTCCCTGTGCAAATCTAGTCTACGAGTCGATTGTTTACAAACAACGTTGAAGTCGTCCTCGGAAAGGTGCGCTTGGCACTTTATAATGTATTTAGATGCACCTGGCAATCTGTCTTAGGTAACCAATGGTTGCTAATTTAAACGATTCTATATTTTTAATAATTATTGCGTTTATTCCCATCTAAGTATATAACAAAACTTTTATTTTAACTTACGTACATAATTTATACTCGTAAACAATTCCTAAAATTATTCACTATAGCAGTAATTTTGTTTAACCGATATAAATAGAAGTATTAGATTGTTATGATAGAGGTAGCGTCCTAAACGCAGTGCGTGCGCGTTGTGACGTCAAGGCGCAGGCATGCAGCAGGCGCGCGGCGGGGCACGCGGGGCGGGGGGAGCGCCGCACGCGCAGCCCGCACTGTTTACAGCGCGAGCGAACGCCCGTGCGACGTTGCCGCGCCTCCTCTCACTTTCGCGAGCCGCGCCGCTGCTAGCTGCGCACTGCGACCGTCTAGCGGTGCTCCGCTTTTTTTTGGGACCACTTTTCCCCTTCCCGGGTGTCAGCGACTCGGTAATACTATTGTTTGTGATTGCTTTAATTAAAATAGTCAGGGATACGTCGAGCATTAAATAATGGTTAGTGAACTTGTTTGCGTTTTACGTGTGTCAGAAAGAGCAAAAAAATATGTAAAATTGCGCAAGTGTAAATTCGACAATATTATAGTCTTGTTAGTATGTTATCCTAAGCAATGTTCCCATACCGCGCAGTAAGACAAGGTGGGGCAGCTGCGATGCGGTGAGGCCCGCCGCCCGACTGCATCCGGCCGCCCCGCAACTTGGGAACCGACCGCGTGCGATACGCGACCGATAAACTTTCTTCCCCTAATAAACTTTGTGACCTCTATCATATGCTGTTGACATTAAACTTTTAATGCCACTTTTAGTACAAATACAATAATTAAACAGTGGCTCTGTTTTTACATCCGTCGCCTAATTGATTATATTTATCTAATTAGCATGTTTTGAGTAAACTTAAGTTTCAATTTATTGTCATTAGCAATAAAGAAAATAAGTGTAATTATTAATAGTACTTGCGACATAGAAAGATGTAATTATTAGAATTTTATATTTAAAAATAAGTTCAGGGTTTGAATAAAAATCTTACACAATCAATTGCCTTTTTTTATTATTCATACATTCTTTTGGATATAAGCGTAAAATGTAACATTCATATTGCTTAACAGATTTATTTTACGACTTTCTGCCGCACTCAATTGTTAAGTCATCCATAGTGTAGACTTATTACTATAACTTGGGCTCCTTTGATGACAAATTTTTATATCTGCGAGTGACGAGTGCGGCTTGGCAATAAGACTTGTGTATATTCGGACGGGTAACGTGACACAATAGAAAGTGAAGCAGCGGGGCGTGCGCGGCCGCATCGCCGATAGAAAGCCGCCGCAGACCCGAACGATCCTCGCATTCTTTCACACGCAGACCAACCGGCTGATACATGCCGCCGACAGTCGCTCAACCATCGTGAATTAAAAAAAAATATTACAAAAATTAAATTATAACATACTGGCTGTTGCTTGCGACTTCGCCTTCGTGCAATTCAAATATATAGCCTATGTTACTCAAAGATGAATTACCTTTCTAACGGTGAAGGAATTTTTAAAATTTCTGAGTTATTTCCATACATACAAAAAACAAATCTTTTCTCTTTATAATATTAGTATAGATGTAGATTAGTCAACGGTAGGTTAAAGTCCGTTTTAAAAGTAAAAAAAAGTAATCGTAAAGCGTTCCTATCAATAAGAACAAATACCAAAATTAGTGCAATGTAACCGTCAACTCAGTTGTTTCGCGTATGCAAAATACACCTATATTTAATCAACAAACTTACGTCAAGTGTTCATCCATTTATCATCAAACAGCGGTCACCAAAACGTGCACTTAATTAGTGTTGAGAGATTGAACGCTGCAGAAGTGACCTGCGACTACTATTATTATCGCCCATTTTAATAACCGCACGCTATTGACACGTCGCGATATCGCATCGTGTTAAATTGATGTACGTTTTGAAGCAATTACGTGATCGGATGTGATTAATGCAGCTTAAATCAGCTGATAATCATTACTGTTATAAACAAAAGATACTTTAAGAACACAGACAGATTTAACTTCAAGTTTTATCTATGAAATATTAACAAGAAGTGTGTGAACGAACAAAAACATAGAAAAATTGTATCAGTAATTTAAACCTACAGTTTTACGTTGTTTTTGTATATTTTAAGTTAAATTTAAATAATGTTAGGATTATATAATGAGAATGTCGAGGCGGAAACAATCTGTGAGTGCGAACGGCTGATATGTTATGTTGCGTAATGTCGGCGTGCTGTGCGGCCGCGGCACACTTGTGACACTCCTCGCCAAACTGGAGCTGTTAACAACTCGCAATATGGTAATTGTCAGTATACTCCTCACAGATTGTTTCTCTTTCATTTGTGATTACGTGCCATAGAGAAATCTATATTTTAGTGTGTAAATAATAATTAAAATTGTAACATTATTTTTGAACTGATATTAGCGTTTTTAGTGTCCATTTAGAGGTCTGTATATTATGTTTATGATGACCTGATAAATATGAAAACGAAAGGAAGCGGTAAACCATAAAATCGACATCTTAAATATTACGAGTTGACGATTCGCAGCGAGCGGTAAACGCGGGCCATTATGACCAATAACCCCCGTTTCAATGTTAACACGTAAACCCGTTCGGAATGGCCGTCCCCCCGTGGCGGCGTGTCGCGGCGGCCCCACGCGCGTCCGCCAGGTGCGGAGCACCCTCTGCCTCCGCAGATGTCGGCCTCCGCCACGGGACCGTTGACCCGCCTCGCGTGATGGCAGCGTCGCGCCTCGTTTGACCTCACATTGTCTGTCGCGCTCCAGCTCTTGCAGAGGACACGACATTATCGTTCGTTTTTAAATCAGTATCATGTTAAAATTGTTACTTTAATCAGTTTCGGGGCAAGGAATTGCATTAATATTTAATGGAATTAAAACAAAATTGACACTTGAAACATCAATTCTATTACATAATATCGAGGTAATACTTATTGTCAATGATTATTCGTTGTCTGTTGTCGTAGGTTAGGGTCCTTGAGGATATTAAACTGCTTTTGAAGCTTGAGTATTTGAAAATACGTCAATGTCATTATCGACATTCACGATGCGAACATTATTAAGCTCCTACGCGTTCGTACAATTTCTTATAGGCTCATCTCACGGATGAGTGCACAAGTGGACATGAACTTGTAAAGATTCCCGGCCGGTGTGCTCAGTGCGCTGTGTGCCCAGACATTGTGTACAGAGGCAGAGGGGCGGTGGGTTTTTGACCCGCCGATCCTATCTGCATAATGAAGGTCGTTGCGACACCTGCCTCTATCACCCCGGGACCTATGTTGCCTTGGCAATGATTACAAGTAGTTTAACCGCAAATTAACAATGGTAAAGTTGCATGTCTAAGATTCGTCAGGATTTTTTTATAGAACCCCGACATTTATATCTATTTTTAGTTCATCTTTCGAATGTTGTAAGTCATCGGTGGAGTCTATCTTCGAAACATTGGTAATTTCTAAAGTACACACATCATATTCGGGAAATTTGTCGACCGTCTTTTCCGGCTAGCACCTTGCGCGGTTGGAGGCGCGCCAAATCCAGTTTTAGAGCGATCTCGAGGTCTCTGTGCGAATCCGCGACCGATGCGTTCGATAAGATTGCTTATCTTTCAGTATCGCACAGCGTACACGACGATCGTCAGTCCCCTGCTACGGCACCGTCGCGCCGCTGTCGTGATAATACGCAAAGATTACAAGTAAATTTGATTATCATTCATGATGAGTTTTCATTTGAAAAATTGAGCCTTTGTTGTTAGAGGAAATTTTATATTTTCTCTGAAATGTTTGCATGTATTTCCGCGCCTGTCTTAGTTGGTCTATACTTGATGTAACACTTTGAGTCGTATGCTAACGAGCAGGACCTGAACCGTCTGTAGAACACGTTCGGCCAATTATTGTCGTCTGCTCTCCGTCGCATTTGTAACATAAGCTCAGCTTACACATCCTTGTCATAGCTACTTCACTAGTCTGTCACTTGTTGGCCATCATGACTGGAATATGTACAGTCTTGTAATCACGAGCCTAATTTATAAACCATCTATGAATTCGAAATGTGACGTGTATCATCTAACTCGTCTTTGTTTTACATAAATCTGATCTGTTGATGAAACTATAGAGTAAGTTTAAGCGCTGTGTTGTCTCATTATGAGTAGATTTTAATATTGTTTTTATTTGCAGACGGAGCTGTATGGCATAAAATGGCGTAAGCTGGTATGGCAGCGGGAGTGCGGCGGGGGCAAGGGCGAGGAGGGCGCGGCTCCGCTCGGCGATCCCGTGATCAGCAGCTACGCGCGTTGCCTAGCCGGCGACATCCTATGCGTGTGGCGGCGCGTGCCCTCGCAGCAGTCATCCGACCCTTACGATATGCCCGCCCCGCCGCCACTCTCGCTGCGCGCCGCCAAGGAGCTCTGGATCTTTTGGTACGGCGAGGAGCCTGACCTTAGTGGACTCGTCGCCCCAGAGCTCATATCCGGCCGTGAGTACACAACATTTATATATAGTCAATTAGAATATAAGTTTAAAATTAGACAAGTATACAATGTTTAATGTTGAAGAAAAGTTGATTTACTTTGATGTTTAAATGTACTTTAAGAATATTACCCGTTGATCTTTGTTTAAGAACGCGTCAAAGTATTCAATCATAAAATTTATAAAGGTTCTAAAAACATGCAACGACCTTGACCAACATATTTTTAGATCAATCTCAAATTGATCCGGATTTCGTTTTGACCTTAAAAATAATGAAGCCAATAACTAAAGTTGATGAATTTACGATTATCATCGGCTTAAATCTTAAAAAGCGCGGTATAAAATTCAGAGTAGATATATTTTTAACGACTAAATGCGAGTATTAGTCATATTTGAATGTATTTCGACAGTCAATTAACGGAAGCTTTTTACCTTTATCTGATGGAAGTGTTTAAAAGCTTAATGTTTACGCGGCGCTCGCTTGCAACAGTTGTAAGAATGTAATCCATACTCTGACGTGATAACAGATTAATATCACAAGATGGCTCGTTAACCGCTCCTCGGGATGTATCATCGCTAACAATTAGGAGTAAGATTGAGATCGCGCCGACTCATACTACAATAACTAAAGATACGATAGGAAATATAGATGCTGGTATTTTGTTAAGTGAAACAGACTATCTGCCACATCTGTAATATAACAACTAAAGCTTTATTTAGTGTAGAATAGTGTAAGGGTTGCCTTTTGATTGCAGCTCAATTGCTCGAGCAAACTATATGGTATTTTCAAGAATCCTTTGAAGTCAAATGATACCTACAGTAGATATGTTCCTAGTTTTAATGAAATGAATGGTATTACGCGATAGTTGAACAATTTAAAGTATTTTATTGGCCAGTGTTACAGAAACAATGCCCCCTCGTGTTTACGTCCGCGAACAATGGCGCTCACATCTGACGTGCATATTATTACATTTGACCAATGTAAGATGAAACAAGTAACGGATTACTTGACCATCGTCACGGCGAACACGATAATAAATTATTACTAAATTATATTGCGATTCTTTTACTCTGTTTTAGTATTTCAATTAAGAAATTTTCTGTTTAACTTGAGGCTGTATTTGTGTTTTGCACACGGCAAATTCTCACCAATTGACTTGTTCAAATGCATGTGGGCGAGCGGTCGATGATCTTGTTTTCTTTTTTCTCTTATTGAGACGCAAGCGCAAGCTATTGAGCTATGATAAATGTACTAGTGACAAAATCAGATATGGACGTTATCAAATTCACTATCACTATTGAACTTATAGAAAGTAAAAAGATAAAATAAAGCTGTCTCTCACCACTTTTTCGTTGTAAAACGTGTAGGATACTTATTGTTTAAAGTTATGTTAAAAATATATTACTTTATTAATTGTAAATTGTTTTGCTTTCGTCGATGTGTTGTATTTGTATCGAGGAAAAGTCAGATAATGTAAATATGTAACATATTATTATTAAAAATAAACAAGTCTATCAGAAATAAATCGCTACAAAGAGATAATGAGTATTATTTATTATCAAGAAAGGTTACATTCCTGTCCTATGGAGCAATACTTAGAAGCACCGTATGCTCGCTCTACCCTACCTACGATTCGTTATTTCTCACATAACACACCAGGGGTTAAGCTACGACAGATGTTTGTATCAGCAGCGGTCGCGGTGCGGAGGCAAAAGTTTCAACAAGTCGCGTTACCTCCGCCTAAGGCTTTCAAAGAATGATCGCGTCTGGAATCAAACAGGTGGCCCGACTGGACGAGAGGTGGACACGTCTGCGGATTGTTCTTTTATTTGTCCACCCGCCTGCCGGTTTACGTTATCCGTTTTATTGTCTTGGTACGAAATCTTACATTTCAATTGTTCAGTTTTCTTTGTCACTTTGTTCGTTTGTTCCCTGATATCAAAGTAGACGAACGATATCTTTGTTAATTCTTATCTGCACGTCTTATAAATCAACTATTAGTAATAATAATAATCAATTGCTTGTAGGTCAGATTTAACTTAAACTTTGTGGTTTAATTTACTTTTGTTTTATATGAATAATGAGATCGCTAAGTGTCGGCGATACGGTCTTTAACGTGGGGTCGTCGGGGAGCCGTCGCGGTGCGGTCATTACACGATCTCGTGTCGGGGCGCTTGCAACATTTCAGCAACAAGATACGCGATACGTGCACAATTCACCTGTTTTAACTAAACTAGAAACTAACATAACGACACGTTGCCCAATACCCCTTTATTTGAATCAATCTTAGACACGAAGCAAAATAAATCCACTACGTTTGAATAATGTCTTCATTATGCCAAGGTTCAATAAAAATGTAATTTATTGACGTATTATTATCTGTTGCTAAAGGGTTTATTTTCAGTTTAAACTACAACCCACTTTCAAAATAAAACATTTTAACCTTTAGTCATTCTTCTAATATTTTGACATATCATTTTCAATGCAAGCTTGTTACAGTGGAATAATTCATTTGTTCGTAGGAAGACTATTTGTGATGAATAATATCAATGACTAAGTCTTTGTAATAGTACAGTATTCGTTGTGTTTAGCGAACTTTTCCTCTTGTGTACGTCCCGTGCCCCATGCCCCATGCGCCCGTGTGCCGCGCCGTGCGTCGGGCAAGTTCACGCGAGTGCCGACGACCAAAATAGAACGTGACATAAATCTGCATAAACGGTTATATTTCTGTACTCGACGATTGTGGACTGTTTCTGTTTAATTTCTGTTTAGACTTTGTTAATTTTATTGGAATTAAAACACTTAACTTTAAGCCTGACACTAAAATATAGGTGTTATTTACTTTTTTCTTTCTGGTTTTGTCCGAAATGTATAATTCTCTTCTAGTTTGCCTTATTATTTTTTTAAACATAAGGCTGTGTTTAAACCAGTCCGTGCTTCAAATAATCCCTTAGTTCAGTATTCAGGCCAGTCTCTGGGTGTTGTCGCGTCGCTAGGCTAGGAAGAGTCTTATCTCCTGGCGGTCGTGACCGCGGCCGCATCAATTGTTTCAACCTTGCGCTCTCATTTAGCATACCGCACCGTCGCGCCTCGTTTGTCCACCGACGCCCGCCCAGATAAAGCACGTCTCATAATCAACGATTACGGAATATTAATATTACGAGATAACGACGCTAAACGAGATAACGTATTAAGTAAGACGTAGCTCGTAGCGTCTTGTTGATGAAATAATTTTAGCTCCTATAATAAGCTATGATAAAAGTCACAAACATTGATTACTTTTAACTTCAAATCAACAATGTCATTTTATTATTGAAATGCTTATGCTGATAAACATATTTTTAAATCTGGAGCCGTTAATGAATAATTATTTTTAGAATTAAAACTACCAACCGAAGGAACACAGCTCTGTCAAATCGTTTCATTGATTACTTTATTGTCTCCATAATAAAGCGATTCGACTCAATGTAATATACCGAGAATTCAATTGATGTATATTTAGAGCTATGAATATATCATTTTTAGATAACCTTAAAAAACTTACATTAATATGTAATTTTACAGCAAAAAAAAAGTTAGTTGTATTACAATGCAAAAGTCAGCCATATAAAATTATTTCAAAAGCAATGTTCCTTGTAATTTATAACTTCAGGTTGTAATGGCATCATAGATGAAATGGATGTTGTCTAGACGTGAGGGTGTCTCGCAATATATTTTCAGTTTAAAATCAACAACACGAAATATGTTCCCATTCCCTTGAATTGTAGCCGTCGTCCGCTCGTATTGCTGCCAGCCCGGTAATTACAACCGTGGCTTGTTTACGATAAGTATACGTATACAAAACTCGTTTTACATTTGGGCTAAGAGGCGTGGATGACATTGATCACCCAGACAATCGAACGCTCTCGAAAAAGCTTGCATGCACGTAATTGAGAAAGGAAATTTTTACTAAAATTCCGGTTCTGCAATATTCGAGATTGTCTCGGATCTGTATGCTACATTCTGTGAAGTTGTAGGCGCGGAGAGAGCACCACCCAGTTAGGATGATAACACGCTATTGTGAGCATTGTTCTCGTAGCTTAGAGTCGAGTGTGGCGCGCAGGGCTTTAGGGTCAGTTGGCGACGTGCGTGCTGCATTCGATCGAAGGTCTCCGCTGCCACCGACTGCGGACGGAAATAAACGAACGTTCTGCAATTTCCCGTCGCTAGCGAATCAACTAGCATATGTTTTCCGGTATTTCCTTGTTAATTTAACCACTAAGAAGTAATTTTGTCATACGAAATTTGATAACCCAAAAGAAATACCTAATTAATTAAATATATGATAATACTTTTCATAAAAATCTTACACAAATTAAACGATAGTATCAATAAATTTAGTAAATTGTTAAAGCATTAATAAAAAAAAGTTATATAACGTCGCTTATACCATTAGATTTTGATGATATTAATTCACCTCGGAAGTATCTCTCTTATAAAAATGCCGTCAGTTACAATTTGCTCGGTGACGTCCTGAGGCGGCGTCGCTACGTGAGCTCATTTGCCGAGCGCCGAGATGAACGTCTGCCCCGGCCCGGCCGCGACCGGCCCTAATCTGTTTACGATCCCCCGACTACAGCGAAATGATAGGCGAGTGCTTGATCCCTCTCTACTTGGTAACTAAATGTGTTTTAACACCACTTCACTTTGTGGTTTAGTTATTAGTATACATTGTCAGTCACGATTTGTAGTATTTTTCTTGGCAATCTTGTATCGTCGCTAACATTTCTACCGATAATCATAATTCTAAATATACTAACGTCACTCATTGAATGGTAAAACCGCTTTAATTGTAAAACAAGATTGACGTCACAACTCCATATGTTCATTTTGGTTTTTCTTAATGGCAACAATTGCACAGTCACCTCGGTGCGTATCAAATTAATAGCGTACAAATATGTTATTCATTGAGCGAGCTGCGAGCTGCGAGCTGCGAGCCGCGGGACGAGTGTGGGAGTGATTCATTG